CAGAACCCAAGCGCTCTTCCACTCTGGCCAACACAAGGAGCCAGCCATGATGTTGAACGATGGCCCCAGAGAGGCCCAGGAAAGAGAGAGACACCAAGTGAAATAAGCCTTTGAAACTTTTCTCCCTTGATTCCCCGAAGGAAGAAATCTTTACTGCTGAATAACGCATTTGTGGCCCTCGCTGCGCTGTTGGTGGGGTTCAGCCGGCTGGCGAAATCTTTTGAAATGATCTTGCTGAGCAGATTTTTTGCTGGCATCAATTCCGGTAGGTCCAAGACGTGCGCGGATACATGTGCAACTTCAGCATTTTGAAAAGCAGTCTCTGGTCTCTGACCAGGGTTTTGTTCCTTGAAGAGAGGTCAGAGATGCAACCTGGAGCCAAGAATCCATCTGCTTTTCTTCCTCCGTCTTTGCCTTCCAGTGGCGGGCGGGTGGGGAGGTTCTCGATCTCTCCGTTGCTTTCAATACTATCGACCATGGTCTCCTTCCTGGCTGGCTCTGAGGATTGGGAATGGGAAGACAGACCTTTGGGGGGGGGTCTCTTCATTTTTGGAGGGCTGGTTCCACTCTTGTGACTAGGATACATTGATGATGCCCAATTATGTCTTTTAGCACCAGACTGGCCAAATGAGGCTGTCAAGATTAGTCTGGGAGGGAGGAGCCATCTCTGAGTCAATCCTATCAATGGTTGTGGATATAAAATCTCCTGCCTCGGACAGGCTGTTGGACTAGAAGATCTCCAATCCTGTGATTGTATGTTTCTATGTGAGGGCCACTGAACGCGAGGATACTCCATCTTTAACCTTGGATGGGGTAGCAGCACCTCCTTATTTAAGGGCAGTGCAGGATCTCCGGATCTTTATGGACTCACAGCTCCTGCTCAATATGCAGCTGATAGCTGTGGATAGGAAGGTCTTTGCACAGCAGCTTCTACAGTACCAGTTGTGTCTTTTTTCTTGACCAGGAGGCTCTTCGGACAATCGGTGATGCCCTAGAGTCCACTCTTGCAATGCACCTCAAAGACCCTTTGGAAGCTTCAGCTGGTCTAGAATGCATGGGAGGGGCGATGATGGGCAGGCCTTGATACGCCCGTGGGATTCCTCTCTTCTACGAGCTGCATTGATTGTCAGGGCTTGGGTTTTTTTTAAAGGACTCCCTATCTACCGTGATACCTGTTTGGTCGAGACCAAGGAAGCGCAGAAAGCCTCGTTTAGAGGCAGAAAAGGGAAAGGGAAGAGGTTTCGTAGAATACAACTTTGGCTGGAAAATCCACTCATTTAGCATGAAAAGCGGTGGCTGACCAGTCCCTGTCACCAGAAGCCAAGGGGTCATAATATATGTCATAAAATAAATGTTTCCTTTCTGAGACCGGGACCTTGTCTGCACAGGAGTGGCCATGAGCATCCAGCCCATGTATTTGGGGGAGAGCGCACCCAAGGAGCTCCGGGGAGCTGTGGCCATGACTTCAGCATCTTTCACAGCCCTCGGCCTTGTGCTTGGCCAGGTGGCCGGACTCAGGTGAGACACAAAACTCTGGGGCAACCTGGGGTGTGTGTGTGTGTGTCATCTACAAGGCACACCCTTGGGGTGCTTGGGGCCTGCTGTATGGTACCCAGGGCTGGGCTATGCACTGTACCTTAAACGAAACTCTAGACACGGAAAGCCGCTGGGTAGACAGGTGTCCTGCCTTGAAATAGACAGGTGTCCTCCCCAAGCCTAGGCAGCACACAACAAAAGGGCCTGTTGCCTCTCTTTTGTACGGATTTATGCAGAGGCATAGCTGTGATGACAATTGGCCAGTAAGTTAAATGAGACCTTGCATTTGTTTCCATAAGTCTGAGTCTGGATTTTAACGCAGGGAAATCTTGGGAGCAGAAGAGAGCTGGCCTATCCTTCTAGCCAGTAATGTGGTGCCTGGGTTGATCCAGTTGATGCTTCTGCCCTGGGCTCCAGAAAGCCCCCGCTACCTCTTGATCGACCGAGGAGATCAAGATTCATGCATCGCTGGTAAGCAAAGGGTGGCCAGATTGGCCTCCTGCCCTGAGGGGTAGCCCAGAGAACAAATCATTATAGGGACATGGGAGGGAAAGGGACATTGTGGGGGAAACCAGACTCATTACATCAGGCCATTTTAGGTCCAGTGGGGATTACATTAATCCTTGTACCCTGCAGAAGTAATCTTTTCTCCCAAAGGCAACTTTATCTGGTCCCATCTTGCATAAATTGTGTAATTTGTGCCCAAATCCTACCCAGCTGCGGATGTTTCTGCCGTGAGATGCTGTGCGGTTGTTGCACGTGCTCTGTTTTTCTTGAAGGGGGTCAGAACATGTTGAGAACATGTTCTAAGGCAGGGGTATCAAACTCAAGGCCCGCGGGCCACATCCGGCCCATGGGGTGCTGGAAATATCAAAGGACCAGTCTGTCGGGTCTCTGGGAGCTGAAACTGGCTGCGTGTGGCCCTCCGTGCCTTGTTTTTTTTTTCCCTCCACAGCCTCCTGCAGCACTCTGCTGGCCAAAAGCCAGGCCAAAACTGGGCTGAAAAATGGAAGGAAAATAGGATGAAAATGGCCCCAAAACGGCCCAAAAAACAGGCTGAAGATGGGGCTGCATTTTTGGCCAGCAGAGTGCTGCAGGAGGCCATGGAGGGTGAAAATGAGGTACAGTGGGACTGGGTACGGACCCCCCCCCCGTGCCCTATTTTGGCCAGCAGGGTGTTGCAGGAGGTATCCGTCCATCTCGCACGCCCCCCCCCACCCGCCGCCAGCCCGTGGAGAAGAACTACAATGCTGATCTGGCCCTCAAAGAAATCCAGTTTGACACCTCCCCCTGTTCTAAGGCAACCCATGAATCAGGGACCCAAGGACACCAGGCTCCCTTTGGACTTCTTGCAGCTTTACAGCAACTGAGGGGCAGCGAGGACCTGAGCGGCGAGATGAAAGAAATCCTGGCGGAGCAGGCAGCCCTCCAGGGACAGGCAGCCAAGGCACCCTGGGAGCTCTGGAGGAACCGGGCTGTGCGGTGGCAGTTTATCACCGTGGTGGTGCTCAGCAGCGCCATGCAGCTCTGTGGCAATGATTCCGTAAGTCCAGCGGCCAGGCCAGAACCTGCCCACTGCTGTCCTGAATGCCCTTTCCCCAATAGGCCTGGGAACTGAGGTGGGGTGGATATCTGGAACCGGCTGCTTCTCCTTAAGGAGGCTGCTGGCAAGCGGCACACTAAAACGTGCGGCGGTCGGCATCCTCTAATTGTTTTTTGAGTTGAGTTTCAGAAAGAGTTGGGGGAATATTTCTTTGCTGCTTAAATTGTGATACGCTTTTGATGCTTTACATTGCTATTTTCATGAGTTTCCTATCTCATTAATAAGCAGATTAACCTCCCCTCCTTTACACAGCAATAGGGGCTCCGTTGAGCAGGGATACAGTGATACTAGCTTTTATTCTTTATTCCTGCAGATGTACTTCTACGCTTCGTCTGTTTTCCAAGAGGCAGGGATTCCGTATGACAAGATCCAGTACAGCGTGATTGGCACCGGGAGTTGTGAGCTCATCATGTCCATGACTTGCGTGAGAATTGTATCTCCCTTTCTTCCTACTCAGGGTGGTCTTCTATCCAGACCAGGGCTCTCCAACCTTGGCAACTTTAAGACTTGTACACTTCCATGCCCAGAATTCCTCCCAGCTTTGCTGTTGAAGTTCACAAGTCTTAAAGTTGCCAAGGTTGGAGAGCCCTGGTCTAGACTATTGCAAGGAGTCCTGCTCCTTTGCAGAGCTGCCTGTTATTTCTGAATAGTATCCAGGGCAACTTTTGTCACAGCACGGAATGGGTCTGCTTTGGATCGTCCTCCCTTCTCTTGTGTTACCTGCAATTTCTCACCTTCTTCCAGTGATTCTCACCTCTCCTCTTGTTCCCTCAAGGAGACCCATCTTGTCGGCCCAGAGAATTATGTATATAGTTGTTGTCGTTGATGTAAATCTGGGAAGTCTTTGGACTGGTGCATTGGAGCTGTATTCTTGTCAGTTACTGGATAAGGTCCCCCTAGCCTTCACCACATCAGTCACACCTGTGTTTATCTTGGGTATCAGCTAGGGCAGTGGTTCCCAACCTTTTTTTCACCCCGCACCCCTAAAGAAATTTCACTCGAACCTCACACCCCCTGACATTTAGACTTTAGAAACTACCGAACGCGTTAAATATATGGTAGGATTGAATCTTTTCAGCTATGTATGTGACGGCCACTAAATAACGATACTTAACTCTAAAATGAAAACAAAGTCAATCCATTGCATAATAAATAAAAATGCCAACGTATAGCCAATATCCTATTATTTACCTGGACTTTTCTCGCACCCCCTGGAATATCGTCTCGCACCCCCAGGGGGTATGAGCACCCCAGGTTGGGAACCCCTGAGCTAGGGCAATCTTGGTTTCTCTCTGTGTTTTGAGATCCCAACTTAATGGGTCACTCAACATGTAGGCAAGTATCTTGGACAGTTGGGGGATCCATGATATATATCTCACAATGAGGCCCTTAACCAAATCCTGAGTGATCAGTGTTGATGTGATCAGGATGGGAGCGGCAGGGTGGGACAAATTGCAGCCTCAACAACAGATTTCCAGGGAATGAGGCCTCTACATCTATGTTCTGGAGTTTCCAGCTCCAAGTGTTTGTATCCTTCTGCTCAAAGAGTGGAGAAGATTTCAAATTCAATTGATGAAGTCAAGCCTAATCCCACTGTCACTGTTGTATAAAAAGACTCGGGCCCTGGTACCACTGAAGGTCTTTATCGGTATAAGTAGAACATTTGTAGTTCAGGGTTGAAATGTGTAGGATGAACAGGCAGAAGACTAGCAGAACACATCCATGAACACCAGCTAGCAGTCAGAAGACATAATGAAAACTCTTTAGTGTCACAACATATGGACAGACTTAACCATAGTTTCAACTGGGAAACAGTAACCATCCTAGACCAAACCACATCCCAAAATGCTAGTTCATTCCTGGAAGCCTGGCACTCTGACAAATTAGACGTCAATAGACACACAGACAGAAACAACATCTACATAAACTTGGAAGAATAAACCCTCACTAAAGCTTAGAATAATAAACTTTTGGTCCCAGTGACCGACTCAGACTGGATTCTGCATCTACATACTGCGCAAAAAAAGACAACACGTCAAAAAGGGAACAAAAAGACCAAAATACTTCCCCGTCAGCAATCAGCATCTAGATGAACATAGATTGACCCCAAGATTAACATCATATCAACAATCAAGACATAAGCAATGCCCCAATCACAAAACTGCCAAATAAGCCAAAACTGCCAAAGAGTAAAGAGTTCAAAGAACCTCCAAGACCACTTCCACAACTGGCAGGGCAAGCCATTAGAATATCCACTGAGAGCAAACCCCATTCCTTACCAACACTGATGATATTACATAGTTTGGGTGATGAAATGGCTGCAAGAAAAGAACCAAAGATACCTCGTCACTGGAAGTGCCCCCTGACTAGATGCCAGCAACTGCCCACCCCCACCCCCCCAAAATCAACTTTGAGTGGGATCCAAAAGACAGGCAGGTATTCACATTCACAGTTTGTATTAAGAGCAGCACTGCTTGTGATTAGCACTAATAAACCTGAGGTTTGAGCAGGGACTTAGACATGTGCACTTAAGCCTTTAACATCACACCATTAAGTATGAAACAACTTCCTGTTGCAGCATTTTGCAGGCCTCCATCTGTTATGTTTGAAGTTGAATCCTTCTGCCTTCTGATTCACCTTAGCTATGTTTCTCCTTTGCTGAATGGAGCAGGCTGGTCCTACTTATTGGCAAAGTGTTTGGACCAAAGGCCACCTTTCTTCCTTTCCTTTTCACATGAATTCTTATCACAGTCATGACCAGTGAATTCTCTGACTTGCAGGTAAATCAGCTTTATCAGGCTCTAAAATAAAATGGTCCCAGGTGTCTCTTGTGTTCTGAAAAGCACTTTGGTCTTCCTTCTATCTCAGCACAATTTCTTCCCATATTTTGCCTGACCTGACCAGCTCACTAACTTTTCTTTCGTGTTGCTTGGTGTAAGATCATACAAGGACTAACCATTTTGCTTCTCCCATGGGCTGATCGTTGGCCACTGAGCAATGAGTTGTTATTTCTCTTGTGCAAAAATGTTGGCTAGGTGATATGGTGCCAGTCACTCTCTCTGCCCAACTCATTTCACAGGTTTGTTGTTGTGTGGTGGGGAAAACAGGAGCGTAGGTCTTGTAAAAACTGAAGGTGGGATATCAGTGGCTTGTCAGCTTCTCAGCTCTGGGTGATGATCAAGGCTATTAGGTGCCCCTTCTCTGCCTTATCAGGGACATCTGCCCAATTCCTGGGCTGCTCTTTGCAAAGCATCCATGAGTGGATAGAGGAGCGGCTCTTATTCTCTGGAGCTCAATGCCTGCCAGTCCCCTCAAGCAAACTCCCTAGCAGGGAATCGTCGGCTCTGTGGTTCTGCATGTCCATCGCAGGACCAGGATTGCAGGCTCCCAATGTTTTGCGGAAGATCCTGAGCAGTCGGGCCCCCGGATCCACCAAGAGCTGCTTGTGTGGAGGCAGCTGTGAAGGTTTTTTTTTTACATTTTCAGTATAAGAAAAGAGCCCTTCGATTTGGGCCATTTGTTTACAGAATGCCAATAGGAAGAAAAACTTCTTGTCTGTCTCTCTTGGAATGCCACGTGACTGGGATACTATCTTCTTTCAAGGACTGCAAAAGCTAGCTGTATATATTGCGCCACTCCTTCTTTTTAATCAGGTGAAGGATCACATTATCCATATGACACCGTAAAAAACCGAATCCTTCTCAGTAAACGGCCTTCCTTGTAGCTTCTTCTGATTCCAAAATGTGCGGACCAAAACCAAGAGGATGATCACCGAGTCAGTCTCTAGAAAGTACCAGCCTGTCGACCTCCCACAAATTTCCTTTGTATCTGTTCAATGGGGGAGGGGAGGAAAGGGATATGTTCAACGCGGGAGGGGAAGATCTCTCTGTGGAGAACCTGGGTGGGCCACCCATTAAGGGGCTCCCCTGTAATGCTGCCTTCCAGAATCTCCTCATCGAGTGCGTTGGGCGACGGGTGCTGCTCATAGGGGGGTACAGCCTCATGGCCACCTGGGCCATCCTGTTCATGGTAGCATTGTCTCTACAGGTAAGAGCCACTCTTTGTTCCTTTGGGTTGAAGGACCCCGGGGCTTCCAATTTAGCTAGGGTCACCTGCGGGGCACTTCCTAATTTGCCTATTTCCCCCCACCCTCCCCCCTTCACCTGCCCCACCACTCTTTCGGCCTTGCAGGACCAACTCAACTGGATGCCTTATCTTAGCATGGCCTGCATCTTTGCCTACATCCTGAGCTTTGGCATCGGACCAGGTGAGTTACGAGAGCCCCAACAGGGTCTCAACAGGGGCATGAAAAAAACCACCATCCACGACTTAGGAAAGGTAAAAAAAAACTGGGCTGATGTTGCCGTATTTTTATCTTCCTTCTTAGAAAGCAACATTTAATTTGCATGGTTTCTCTAGCTGGCGTGACAGGAATTATACCCACGGAGATTTTTGATCAGGTCTCCCGCCCGGCTGCTTACACAATCAGTGGTTCTCTGCTCTGGATCAATTTATTTCTGGTGGGCCTGGCATTCCCTTTTGTGATGGTAAGCTCTCTCTCTGTTTATATTTCTGGAAGGCATCCGTTAGTTCATGTGGGAGCGAGGAGTTTTTAGGCAGACGTTCTTTCCATCCATCAATGGAAAGGATTGTCCTAGCTGTGGATTCAAGGAGCCCCCCCACTCAAGACTAGGTGTTCCTCCTGTTCTAGATCCAATTGTGACTCCTCCCGATTGCTACACAGTCACACGGCCAAGGATGTCCTCTCCTAGCAGGTTGGCGCTGCAGACCAAGGAGGCCTCGTTTTTGTTAAGGATTCCTTTACAGACAAGCTTTGGCTCTGCTTGCATGCCCCTGTCAGCCTAAATTTATGTGCTGAATCCTTTCTTCTCTCCTCCTCCTCCTCCTCCTCTCAGGAAAGCCTTGGCTATTACTGCTACCTGCCCTTCTTCACGGTCTGTGTTGGAACCGCTCTCTATGCCTGGTTTTTCCTCCCGGAGACGAAAGGAAAGAGCTTCCTAGAAATCTCCGAAGAGTTTGTGAAGCGTAACTTTGGAGATCGGCCCCGTGACAACGCTTGGGTGTGTCCTGAGGAAATCATATCCACTAAGTTGTAGCTTCAAAAGAGAGAGAACAGCTCACCCAGGAGACCGGATCATGGCATTCTTTTTCTCCATGAGGATAACGTGGGGTTCTTCTTCACGGTGTAAAAATCCTCATTTCCTCCACCCTTTATCAAACCTGAAAAATGAAAAATGGCCTCCCGGGGCTGGGGGAAGTGCTACGGTATGTGCCAGTCCAAGCTCCGAATGGAAGTACCCTGAATGAAACGGTGCCCTCCCAACACCCGTCTTGTTCCTGCCATGGAAACGAGAGCTCCCTTCTCTACTCAGAAGCTTGTCAAAGAAAGATGGAACCGGAAGTGATAGCAATCATTCGGAATATAGCCAGTTTGTTGTAGTGAGGCGCCAGGCTAGAAACTGGGAGATGGTGAGTTTTAGTCCTGCCTTAGACACGAAGGCACCTGGGTGACTTTGGGCCACTCACTCTCTCTAAGTCAGGGGTGTCCAACCGTGACAGCTTTAAGATTTGTGGACTTCAACTCCCAGAATTCCTCAGCCAGCTGGCTGAGGAATTCTGGGAGTTGAAGTCCACAAGTCTTAAAGTTGCCAAGGTTGGACACCCCTGCTCTAAGTCCTAGAATGAAGGCACATCATTTCAAAAACTTGCCCCCCAAAAACCTATTAGCGATTGGTTCACCAGGAATCAATGCTGACTTTAAAAAGGTGTGAGTATACAAGCACACAAACACACACCAATTTCTTGTCCGTATGCAACTAGCTGGCACCTCTGACGCTGCAAGATGGAAAAAAAAAGATTAGGGTTATATAGTTATTTACAAGCTGCCCAATTTAAATACATAATTCTGGGCAGCTAATGGATTTATAAGAAAAAGAATTTAAAAGCACCTCCGAATTAAATGAAGAGAGGTTAAATAATGCAAAAAAGGGGGAAGAAAACCAAGCCCCCCCCCCCCCCCCCCATTAAATAAGGGAAAAGGTATCTTTTACTGGAAAGTCAAGTGGTAGCATTAAAAGAATTTTGAATCTGAGAAAATGAGCGCGTAAGTCACATATACGAAGTAAGGGCAACGTTCCCACCCGCAACAGTTTAAGCTGTCCATCCGATTAAAAGTTGTATATAACGTCATGTGGGCATCTCCAGGTGATGACGAGGCGTCCGTCCGTTGACCTTGACATATTTTGATAAAGTGGTGCGCTTATGCATAGCATAAGAAAGAAGCATAAACAAGAAACTTTCCCCTCCCCTCAACTTATACAGTTTTTTTTCGGAAACCTCCAGCTCGCTTCCCATAACTATTTCACTCCTCCTCCCCCCCGTTACTTATGACAGCCGAAAGATGCGAAGCAAAGGAAAAGAATCTTGAAGGCTGACATTCACCCACCATGCCGGGGACTGCTGCCTCTTCCCAGGGGATGGTCATGGGAGCTCCTTGGTTAAGGTCTCTGCAATCCTAGAGCAGGGGTCCCCAACCACCGGGCCCCGGACCGATACCGGTCCAGGAACATTTTCTACCGGGCCTCCGGTTTGCTGGGCGCCACCATCTTGTTTCGATGAGAAACTGCTTCCGGGTGAGCTTTTCCGGTTGGAAAGCGGTGTTTGGGTCCTGAAGGAATCCTCACGCCTTAGTTTCATCGAAGGGGAGGGGCAGCTTCGGACAAAACTAAGGCGTGAGGATCCTCTCAGCACCCAAGGCAAGGCGAGCCGAGCGACCGTCCCGAAGCCGTCCCGAAGCGAAGCCCATCGACAAAGGTACAAAGGAGGAGTTGAAGGTGGTGGGGAGAAGCGGGGGATGGCTGGCTGGCCAGTCACTCGGCTCGCCTTGCCTTGTCATGCATGCTGATGCCGGTACCGGGCCGCGGATCATTTTGTGATGCCGGTACCAGGCCGTGGCACAAAAAAGGTTGGGGGCCGCTGTCCTAGAGTTATCACAGCAACAGGGATTGCTGCGATTACCACCGCTAGGCGATGTGATCATGTGATTTTGTGCTTTACTATCACATTGTTTAGGGATGGAAATTGCAGAGCCCACTGCCACTTGGGCCCTGTATCACAACTACACCAATCCTAATGCTGGGGAGAAGAGCTGGGAGAAAAGAGAGAGAGAGAGAAAGAAAGAAAGACGATAAAGTGTTTGGAGGTTAAACCCGATGAGAAATGGTTGCGGGACCTAGGGTTGTCTAGCCTATCAAAGAAAAGGATAGAGGGTGACATGAGCAGCGGTCACAGAGAAGAAGGGGGCAACTTATCTCCCAATTCCTGGGCTGCTCTTTGCAAAGCAGCCGTGAGTGGATAGAGGAGCGGCTCTTATTCTCTGGAGCTCAATGCCTGCCAGTCCCCTCGAGCAAACTCCCTAGCAGGGAATCGTCGGCTCTGTGGTTCTGCATGTCCATCGCAGGACCAGGATTGCAGGCTCCCAATGTTTTGCAGAGGATCCTGAGCAGTTGACCCCGGGATCCACCAAGAGCTGCGTGTGTGAAGGCAGCTTCCAATTTTGAGAAGTTCGGAGGACTGGCAAATCCCACCTCCGACTGGAGATTTTACAGTCTCCTTCCCCTGCCACGCCCACCAAGCCACACCCACAGAACCGGTAGTAAAAAAAAAAAAATTGAATCCCACCACTGGGCTGGACTCAATACTTTAATCGATTCAATTTCACACTCTGCGGTATCTCCCAGGGGCCAAAGTGGTGGCTGAAGCATTTACCATGGCAGACGTGACACCGGGAGCTTAGGACTTGCTCTCAATCACTGTGAACCAGATTTCTGTCCTTCCCATTCGTGGGATTTGGTGGCTTCCAGGTAAACAGTCAACCCCGAGCATTGCGACCATGATCACTACCTGATGTTCAAGTCTTCCAGTGATTTTCCTCCTATACTACAGGAGGACACGATCCTTCTGTTGGATTCCTACTCCTCAAAGCCATCTCAGTCAGCTGCCCCTTTTCACACATCTCCCTGCACAGTGGGATCAGCAGCTCCCTGTTACTGATCAGCCCAAAGGATGACCCAAGTCCAGAGGAGGAATTCATCCATCTCCTGGCTTCAGGCTAAAGAGGGGGCCGGCCGGGGGCGGAGGAAACGGTGACCTTCTTGAAATTGTTAATCCAACATGGCATGCCCTCCTCCAATAGCCAAGAAGAGAGTAGAAATCAAGTGGGCCATAGTTCTCCTAAATCTCCAGATTCAGTGAATGAAACTTGATCAGCCTGGCCACTGCCAGCTGGAGATCAGAAAGAGCCCTTCCAGAAAATGACAGCTGGTTTCCTCTTGGAGTTTGTGAGTATCCCGCACATTGGGGGGGTCCCCACCCAGCCCCCACTTGGAAAGCTAACCCTGACCCTCATCCTCGATGGGGATATGCAAGAACGGTTTCTTAGGCAACAGGGCTGAAATGTCTTCTTTTTTTTAAGGTCTAATAAAACAAGATGCTATTCGAGAATGGCTCACGCAAGATGCCTCCCTGGCTGAGTGGGGGGGTGTGGGGTGGGGGGCGGCGGGGGGGAGAAGAGGGAGAAGGCAGCGTCGCAAGAGTCTAGGATTGTAGCCAAGCTCAATAAATGGAACTCTAGCCTTTCTGTGGAATTGATTTCCTGGTCTAGTTTCTTGGACTGACTATCAGAGTTGGGAAGGATTAAAAAAAAATCATGTTGTGCCACCTGCTCCATGAAGAATCAATTAAAGGATCTCCGACACATGGTTGTCCAGATTCTGTTTGAGGAATGGAATGGAATGAGAATAGGAATAGGAATAGGAATAGGAATAAGAATAGAATAGAATAGAATAGAATAGAATAGAATAGAATAGAATAGAATAGAATAGAATAGAATAGAATAGAATAGAAAAAGGAAAAGAATACGAAAGGAATAGAATAGAATAGAATAGAATAGAATAGAATAGAATAGAATAGAATAGAATAGAATAGAATAGGTAAGGAATAGAATAGAATAGAATAGAATAGAATAGAATAGAATAGAATAGAATAGAATAGAACAGAACAGAAAATATGAGCCGGACTCGACTGGACTCGACTGGAATAGAAAGAATAGAATAGAATTAGAATAGAATAGCAGAGTTGGAAAGGATTTGTAGGTCATCTAGTCCAACCCCCTGGTCAAGCAGGAGACCATACACCACTTCTGACAGATGGGAGTCCAGTCTCTTCTTGAAAGCCTCCAGTGATGAAGCTCCCACAACTTCCGAGGGCAACATCTGTTCCATGGGTTGATTGCTCTCGTTGTCAGAAAATTCCTCCTTATTTCCAGGTTGAATCTCTCCTTGTTCAGTTTCCATCCATTGTTCCTTGTCTGGCCTTTGGGTGCTTTAGAAAATAGCTTGACCCCCTTCCTCCTCTCTGTGGCAGCCCCTCAAATATTGGAAGACGGCTATGATGTCTCCCCTTTCTAACAGAGAAGAATTCTCCGCTTCCAGTGACTGCTTTTGCACTGGGCTGATTGTTTAGTCAAGGAAATTCCTCCCACCTTCAACCTGCTTCTTTGTAATTTGACTCACTGATTCTAGTCCTGCCTAGAAGTAATAAAGAATAAATCTACTCACTCTTCTACTCAGTGAACTTTCAGCCAGTTGAAGATGGCTGTCCTATCATCGTACAACTGTCTTTTCTATAGATTCAACAGCCAAGAGCCGCAAACCATTCCTCTTAAGGCTTTGGTTTCCAGATCTGTCACCATTACAATTATCCTTCCTTTGAATTCACTGTCATGGGGCCAGTTCGTCTCTAACTAGGAGTGGCCTTCTAGCTTCATATGATCTCTACTCTGTGACTTTCTGAATGTTTCCCAAAGTAGACTTTGCTATTTTCAGCAAAAAAAGCTTTTTTTTTTAACCTTCAATTTGGAGTATACCCAGATGCTTTTCTCATATGCTTCTCCCACATCATACATGTCTGCCTTTTTTTTTCTTCCCAGGGACAGGCCTGTCCTTTTTGTACAACTTTATCCTATTCAAGAATGTCTACAACTTGATTTTTTTACATGACACTTTCCAGGGCAGGATCAACACTCCCTTACTCCCTT